ATCATGTAACAGGGCCGTTTCAGTGCCACGGGCCATTACTGGGCCGATCTAATTGAATGAAATACAAACCTTTGATCAAAAAAAAAAAGATGTTTATGATTTAGCTAATGTAAATTTTCTTTACAATAAATTTGTCATTTAAAATATATAGATGGTGTTATAATAAACAATTTTAAGAATTGGTAACAATGAGAATTGGAATATTAACATAATTTTAAATAGAAAAACCTCAATATGTATATATATGTATTTATTTTACTCAAAGATAATATTGTTTTCTTATCTATATTTATTCTGAAATGTTAATATTCTTAATTTTCGGTTATAGATTAATATAAAATCATATTTTTTCTTATAAATATACTCTAAATTGCATAACTCTAAACGATAGTCATCACGCAATGGCGGATTATGATTTTGTTCGTCAATTGGACTCTCAAAGATCCGACTGGAGAATTATAGTGAAGATACTCAATAAATGGGTGGTGGATTACTCGGACGATAATTGAAGTCTAAATTTCATTATGGTCGATAAAAGGGTAAATTTCATTAATCTATAATGGTATTTGTGATATTTATTATTGGTTATGTTTATTGTTTTAACATACACTAATTTGTTCTTTTGTTGTTCTAATGTTATCGTATAAACCTCTAGGGTTGTAGAATACAGGCTCGGGTAAACAATCAGATGATGGAGCATTTCAATCAAATATGCAAAGAAGATCAATGGTTTATGTTGACTGGATTTCTTTTGAATTCTTACAGCTGGACTAATATCCAAAGTATTACAAAACATGATTACATTATTACACTGATAAAAGGAACAACGATTTCACCAGCTTTACCATTAACAAAAAATTCGTTCTATAATTTTGTATCATTCCTCTCGATTTATGAATTCCCAGATGCTCATTATTATATAATTGGTAAGAATATTTTGGTATCTTCTTATAATGCAAAATTTTATAGTTTGCACTAATGTCTTTATTTTGACTAATTACAATCGCAGATTTGATTGGAGTCGTCGAAGATGCTAGATATTTTACTATTACATACCCGGATGGAACGACTTCATCATCAATTCGATTTAAGATAATAGATGACGAGTAAGTATATCTCAAACTATATGTTTTTGAAGTTTAACTAACTAATTATTAACTACATTCTTTGTCAAAATATAGGGAGTTTATGCTAGAGTGTGTGCACACGGTGAGTTGGCAACTGAAATAAGAGATAAGTGTAGAGAATACGAAGGTCCCTTTGCTATATGTGTGTTAACCGATTGGTGTGTAGCAATTGACGGGGGTATGTTCTCTGATGATACATCAATTTGTTATTTATAAAATTGTTGTATATAACATAACAATATTCCAATATATATGTTTTAGAGAATGTGTCTATCAAGGATCATGATGATGATGGTGTGTCCCGTTTTATCACTGATTCACCTATTGATGAAGTTTTAACCTTGCGCAATAGGTAAGTATGTTTCTATGTGTTGTTTAAATTGACTTATGAAAAAAAAAAATTTCATAAATTTAGATCTACATGATTTTGTTATTGAAATTTCAGGATTAGAGAGAGATTATATGGGCTGGATACAGATGATATCTAATGGATTGGGCCGATTAAAAGGATTCAAAATCGATAATCCATATATATTATTAGTTTTGTTAGACACTTTTTTTTGTATTTACAAGTCTGTTTTGCGATTATTAATAAATAATAATTTATTCTAATTTGGGTTTAAATTACTCCTTATAGATATAATATACATTGTATTGGGAAATTTACTACTTGAGTACGATTATGTGCTATCGTGAGTTGATTATTTATGAATGATTGTCATTGGATAAAAATAACATTATTCTTATAAATTGGATTATAAACGATATTAAATATTTTTAATAATGTTCTGTCAAAAAATAGCGCATGTTGGATGATTAAAAAGCATGTCAATAACATATATAACTGATTTGATTCTAAATCTGTTTGATGTAAACGATTTATTATGTTACACTTAAATTATATATCATCTGAGCCCAATATTTTTATACATCTTATGGGCCAAAAAATTTCGTGTTGTAACAAAAATTCGACTCTTCCTTTAACAGATAAACCGTGTAAACCAATAATCTATCTAGAATATTCATCATAAGTTGCAACTTTTCAAAAATGGAGCATTTTTAGTTTAAAAAATACATAAAATGCACTGATTCACGCGACACTTTCCATAACCGTTATTTGGGTGTTATATATATATCCTCATTTCCTCATATCCATTGTTAAAAATAAACAAAAAAGCAATCATTCTCCCCAACTGTTTCTTTGGCTTTATAAAACATTATCCCCATGACTACATATAACTTTGTTGATGAGTTACATTCATGGAGACGAGATTGGAAAATCCGTGTCAAAGTTTTGAAAAGATGGAATAAACCTGATCGTCAAGGCTTACCAGGACTGAATTTCATTTTAGTTGACGAAAATGTAAGTATTATCTAATATGAATATATAACTGTTTTGTCTATATTTATTGTTTGTTTGATCTCTTTGCAAATTTCATTGTATATAGGGTTGTAGAATTAATGCTTCATGTGGTAACCTCGCCTTTCCATATTTTTACCGTGTTGGGACCGAAGGACGATGGCTTGAATTGTCTAAATCCGGCTTGATACCATCTGAATGGAAGAATGAGGGAAGAACAACGAGACACAATTATCAGATCATTCTCAATACTGGGACAGAAGTCTCAAGTCTACGACCATTGACAATGGATCCCTTCATGAAATTTGTCCCTTTTAGTGAGATATACAGAATTCTTTACGCTCAATTGTATCATGTTGGTAAGATTAACTTCTAATATTCGTTTCAGTGATTTCATATATAAATTTGTACATATATAGAAAAAAAAATGAATTTCGTTTATGATAAATATTTCTCTCATAATTGATTTGTAGATCTCATTGGTGTGATGGAAAATGTTAGCGACATTGAAACAGAGAATAACCCTGATGGAGATATTATTCAGAAAATAACTTTCACCATCACAGATCTTGAGTAAGTTTATATTTTCTCTCACGATCACTATGTCTTGGTAACAAATTTTGTAACTTAAATTGTTCAAATCAAAGGGATGTGAAGTTGAAATGCATTGCATACAGGGACTTTACCGCTGATATCAAAGAAAGAACCAAAAGGTTCACTGGTCCTTTTGCGGTTTCTGTCTTAACTGATTGGAGTGTAAATAAAAAAGAAGGTATGGATAATCAAGCATATGGCATTATTATTTTCATTTTGTGCAATATATGTTTTATATTTATTTTGCATGTATATTTCCTAATAATAATTTTATACGTGTAGATGAAATAACTATCCATTCACATGAAGCAATTGGTTTTTCCCGTCTTCTCCTTGATTCCACTACGGATGATGCCCTGAATTTTAAGAGAAATTAAGTAATCTGAAAATTATAATTGGAGAGTTTTGTGTGTGAGCCAAAACTCGCACAACCAAAAATTTGTAAGGAAAAACTAAGGGATCCGAAATTTCTAGGGTAATCGCAAGAACAGTAAGATCAAAAGAAGGTTTTGTTTGCTGTGAAAGTGGTTTAGTCTTATTGCTCTCGAGTTGTGAAAAGTTACAGAATGAATTGCATACATTGTTTTTTTATACTAACTTTCTAAACTGCCTAGCCGAGAATCTCGGGAGAGATTTTAGGAATATTTCCTTATCGTTTCACGCGGCCACTGCCTCAAGGCATCGCCTAGGGTTTTTATGGGCTTTCTTCCTTCAGGACCTCGGTTCGGCCCATCTCGAAAGGTAACGGCTTGGCCCACTCTCCTTCCTACACGGCTCGGCCCACCTTCACTGGTGTACGGCTTGGCCCATCTTTTCTCATACGCGGCTCGCCCATTTCCTCCTAACGGCTCGGCCCACTTGAGTTTGGCCTACTCCTCTCATGCGCGGCTCGGCCCATACTTAATGGATCGCTGGTTCTCCTTGCAATATCGGCTCTCCGATATTCCTGAGGTGGTTTAAACCGATTGGGGTGAAACCGACCCCAACAGTTAGCCCCCCAGCTCGTCAATTTAAGAGGTGAGAATGACGAGATTTATTATTCCTAGTCATGGGATTAAACCATCGAGCTGAACATGTCGCGGGGTGATCACAGGCAAAACGTATCGGGAACGAGATTGCCGAGCCGTTATGGAGGCGAGGTGACTGTCATTAGGGACAGTGCCGAGCTGTTTTGGCGGAGGTAACGACAAGGCGTTTTTTCGAGAAAGTTGCCGAGTCGTTTCGTTTTAACGACGAGGCGTTTATGTCAATAAAATTGCTGAGCCGTTTTGTGTTAACGACGAGGCGTTTATGTTAATAAAATTGCCAAGCCGTTTCGTGTTAACGACGAGGCGTTTATGTTAATAAAGTTGCCGAGCCGTTTCGTGTTAGCAATAACGACGAGGCGTTTTGAGAAAGTTGCCGAGCCGTTTCGTGTTAATGATAACGACGAGGCGTTCTTATGGAATTGTCGAGCCGTATCGACAGAGCATGGTTCGGTTCACACGGCTCGATGAGATATTCTCAGATAACCATAGCTGCGTTATGGGCTCGGTTTACCTGGGCAACTTCATACGGGAAAAGTTTAGCAGTCGTTAGTTCTTTCCAAGGCGTTTGGGTGTTGGCGCGTATGACGGACGTGCCAGGAAGTTATGCATTTGCCGCGGACTCCACGCGCCTTCATTTATTACCCTTGCGCCATCCCGAGGTCTACACGGACTCCACGCGCTGCAGTCGTCCTATAAATAGGTGAGCTCCTTCGTCTCTTTTCATAATCTTCAGATCTCTCATTTTAACTAAAAGGTAGCCCTCTCTTCTCTCTTCTTTCTCTCTCTAGTTTATTTATTTTCCGGCTAGGGTTCCGAGGTCTCCGCCGTCTCAGATCTTTTTCCGGCGAACCTTTTTGTAAAACGCTGTAAATTTGGTACGAGCTGTAAAATATGTCGAGCCGTTCGGGTGATTCGCTTGAACCCCTATTCTTTTATGAAACAAGCCGTGCGGATGCCGCAGCGGGGAGCATGACGGGATCCTCTGAGGCATCTGTTTTGCCGAGCCCTTCCAAAAATTCTGCCGAGGCTCACGATGTGTTGAATTCTCCGAGCCCTTTAGGCACTTGTTCCGTTAATAACGAGGCGTCTGCTTCGACGAGTGGTCATCGAGGTCCTGTCGACCAAGAAGAGGTTGATTATGCCATGGTTAAGGCTGAGGAAGAAATTTTTCCTTTCGACCCGGTTGAGGCGAGGCTCGAATTAGAGCGGCTTATGGCATCACGAGGCACCTCTTCTTCTGGAAAGGGAAAACCTAAACGGGTAAAAAGGCAAAAACCCGATCCCCCCGGTTCTTCACTCTCTTCCCTCGACTCGCTCGAGGCGTTGCGCCATCGTTTTAGAATATCCAAAGCGGTTGAATTTATCGTTCCAGAGAAGAGTGACCGAGCCGACAAGCCTCCCGAAAACCATTTCACCTTATACGAGGCGTTTTTCGAGCTCTGCTTCCTATGGTTCCCAATCCCTAGAGTTATCCTCGAATACTTGTGGGAGCATAAGATTTTGATCGGGCAGATTATGCCGAGGGGTTTGCGACATATGATCGGCATCCTGGTTCGGAGCTTCGAATGCGGTGTCGACATCGAGCTCAGTCATCTGCTCAATCTGTTGGAAATCCGGAGAGCCCCGGGAGGAGGCAGATTTTATATTTCCAATAAGTCCAATCGCCGGATCATTGGCGGTTTTCCGAGCAAAGATCAGTTTTGGATTGAACGTTTCTTCTATGTTTAGGTGAATGAGGCGTCGGTGGGCGAGGATTTTGTAAATAAGATGAAGACCGTTTGGGGACCACTTGGTAGTCGATCCGAATCCTTGTTTTGGCTTGGAGCTTGTTATGGTGCGATTTCCATCTTCTAACTTAGTCGTTTTGATGTTGTTTTGCAGTTCAGAGTTTTCTTCCTCCTGTTTCCGACGACTTTTTCTCTGTTCGAGATACTCTTGCGGCTCGGAAGGTTAACTGGAGAAAGCATTTTTCTTTCGAGAGGGTAGAAAGAGCCCGAGCTATCTTCGCCGGGGTATCCATCAGTTCCTCTTCATCAAATTCATCAGGAGACACGCGAGAGAAAATGGTGATCATTACGCTCAGGGATAAGAAGCAACGCGAAGCCGAGGAGATTGCTAGGAGAGCTGAACGAGCAGCTCTTGCAGAGACCGAGGCGGTACCTCGGGATAACCCGCCAAGGCATGAGGGGGACGAAGTCGCCCGAGCTGCTGATGAGATTGCTCCCAAGGCGACGACGCAGGAGGCAGCGCCCGAGGTGGAGCCAGGCCAGATTGTTCCCGACACGTCTGGAGAAAATTTCGCGGCTCGGGATAAAACGCCGCTTACCTCGGCAATTCTGGCTCTTCTGAAACAATCGAGGCCACCGGCTTCAGATCTGCTGAAGCATAATTCCAGCAGGAAGAGATCGGCTATTGAAAAGGGTAAGGGTGTGGCCATCCAAAAAGACGAGCCATCCAAAAAGAAACGTAAATCCTATGCGAGCCCGCATCTCGTAAGCTGGTAATTGACAACCCGGCTGCTTCCGCGGTAATGTTCGCCCGCGTCAACAACGCAAACACTCGTCTTCCGCCTCCCGAGCAGTTGAGGCGGTCAAAATCCTATGCTGCCATGGCGCAGCGCAGTACCAAGGTACCTTTCTAATTTGCTTCTTCCTTGATTTCACGTAGTCTTTGAATCTAAGGAATTACCAATTTTGCAGTTTGTCGCGGCTATCAACGAGATGATGGCCGGCTATGAATCGGATTTGGTTAAGGACGAGCGCCGCTTAGAGGAGGCTCAGAAGGAGGCTGCCACGGCTAAGGGAAAGTTGGACGAGGCGAGGGCCAAGATTAAGAAGCTTGAAGAGGAGAAAACAATTCTCCGTGCCAACGTTGACAAGGTGTCATCCGTGGTGACTCGTCTTGAAGAATCCAGGAGAGCCAAAGGCGCCGAGGTGGCTTTGTTGAAGAGGCGCATTGAAGCTAACGATGTTTTATTCGACGCTAAAGTGAGGCGCGAGTTGACGGCTAAGTTTCAGGAGCGTCTCGCCAAAGTGGAGGAAGGTCTGGCCAAGCTGGAGAAGGCCAAGAGCGACGAAAACGAGCTGGGACAGATCAAAGGGAACCTCGCTTTGATTGAGGAGCTTCGGAAGCCCGACGGATCTTTGGACTCTGAAGAGGCAAAGCTGAAGGTTTGGGAGGCTGAGTACGTCGACGACGATGCGTATGACCGCATTGCGTCTGAGATCCGAGGAGGCCTGCTGTTCTCGCCCGTGTCGCCAGATTTCGTCGATACCCTTTTAGGTAACGAGCCGATCGAGGAGACGGCGGCTAACCTCGGTGTCCAGGATCTGAACGGGTCTAACGCGGGTACTCCTGTTCTCTCGAACCTCCTTGCTGAGCGAGAGACGCGTTCCGCCGCTTGATCACTCTCTTCCCTCCTTTGTCTCTTATATTCACCCTTTTGTACTCAGCGCCTGGATGGCTTTATCCTTCTTTCGAACTCGCATGTTTCTGTGATTGGTGCCTGGACGGCTTTATCCACCTGACTGTTGATTTGGCTATGGTTGTATTCATTTTTTTCCTTAGTCATTTTTGTTGGATTTGATGTGTTTGTCCTTGATGACTTATGAATTTTTGACTAAAAATGTTTGTTTGAAGCGAGTTGTCGTTGGTTGGTTTGTGGAGCTGGATCGCGAATGCTTTCGATCGCTTCCCTAGCCGAGCTTTTGGTGAAATCGATAGAAATGCGGGCTAAGGGGCGAGTTATTTAGGATTCTGTTTAAGTCTAAATCCCGAGCTGGGAGTTGATTCGTGGAGCGTCTTCGTTTTAGGTAGCTCTTAAAAGAAACTAAAGTTCCTTTATGCATTCCACCGTTAGTGCCGAGGCGTTTGAGTTAGGAAAGAGAGAAAAAGTGCGAGGCATTTCAGATCGGGTTTGGTCTTTGGCCGTTTGAAGCGCTAAGTTGGATCTCTTGTTGCCGAGGTTTACGTCCCGAGATGATATCAAAGTTTGATTATAGACCGGCGTTCCTGAGGGGGTGAATGTGTTTAGCCGGGTTTTAAGAGTTCGTTCTGGTTTTAGAGAAAGCGATGTAGTCTCGACTTATAATCTCATGTACGATGACGAACCGTGGTGACCGATATGTTTTTGGTCTTAAATTTGTATAGCCCGCTTGATTTTAATCCGTAGAAGATGTAACTTGCACCCTCGTCCTAGGAAAGGTGGTTAAAAGTCCATTTAGAGAACTTTGTGACTGTTGCCTCGCTGTGGCCAGCAACGAGGCGAGGTGTTTGGAGACTTAGTTTGCCGACGTGAATACAAGGACAAGTAAAAGTCTGAGGCGATAAAGTCACGAGAACTTGTCGAAGTGATAATATCTTGCCGAAGTGACGAATGAACGAATTAAAAATCCGAGGAGAATATGAAATAAGTAGTTGATTTAAAACGAATGAGAAAACTAGCCGAAGCAACAATGAACGAATTAGAATTCCGAGGTGAACATGAAATAAGTAGCAGGTTTAGAACGAATGAGAAAACTAGCCGAAGCGACAATGAACGAATTAGAATTCCGGAGTGAACATGAAATAAGTAGCTGGTTTAAAACCCACAGAAGATTAGCCGAAGTGGCAATGTTACTGGAGACGGTAGACGAGCTAAAATTGTAGAATTAAATGAAGGTATGTGTATACGTACCCACTCCTCCCCCCCCCCTTTTTAGGAGGGGAGACAGCTGAACCCGTCCGAGGACGGGCTGCCAACGTACCTTTTACAGGGATCAAGCCATCTCGTAGTTCATGTTGACCGTGTTGTCGCCTTAGTGATAATACTTCTTCAGGTGCATTGCATTCCACGATCTTGGAATTGCTTTGTCAGCTACCGTCGCAAGTTCGTAGACTCCTGGGCGAACTACTTTTGCAATCTTGTAAGGACCTTCCCAGTTTGCTCCGAGCTTTCCTGCATTCTTCTCGACAGTGTTTTGGAAAACTTTTCGAAGGACGAGCTCTCCTTCTTTAAATCTTCGACTGCAGACATTTTTGTTGTAGTATCTCGCCGTTGCTTGTTGGTAGTTCTGAATTCGGATTAGAGCCTAGTCGCGCCTTTTGTTGACCAAATCGAGTTCGTCCAGCATCATTAAGTGATTCAAGCCTTCTTGTCCCGGCAGAAGTCTTTGTCGAATACCTGGGAAATCCACCTCGGGGGGGATTACGCATTTCGCTTCATAGACTAGAGCGAATAGAGTTTCTCCGGTAGCTCGGCGCGGAGTTGTCCGATGCGACCAAAGAACTCCTTCGAGCTCATCTGCCCATCGTCCTTTCTTGGCGTCGAGCCTCTTTTTCAGACCGTCTAGGATCGTCATGTTGGCTGCTTCGGCTTGTCCGTTCCCTTGAGGATATCTTGGCGTAGATTTGCTCAAACGGATTTTCCATTTCTTGCAGAAAGCTTCAAAACGCGTTGAGATGAACTGAGATCCGTTATCGGTGACTATCTCGTAGGGGACCCCGTGTCTGCAGATGATGTTTTTCTAGACAAAGTGTTCGACTTGAGCATCCTTTATGCTTGCGTAAGAATCGGCCTCGACCCACTTAGAAAAATAATCCATGAGGACGAGCAGGAAGCGCTTCTGCTTCGATCGATCTAGAGGTCCGACTATATCAATCGACCATCTTATGAAAGGATAAGGTGACGAGTTCGATGACAGCAGCTCGGTAGGTTGGTGAATTGTTGGCGCGTGCCATTGACACTTCTCGCACTTTGCCGTAAACTTCTCGCAGTCCTTGACCATCGTAGGCCAGAAGTAGCCGTGCCGTTTTATCTTGATCGCGAGCGACCTTCCGTTGGAATGGTTTCCGCACGCGCCGTTGTGCACTTCATGCATGATCTTTTTTGCCTCTATTCCTTCGACGCATGTCATGAGCGGTCCTGAAAATCTCTATTTAAACACCTCGCCGTCGACGAGGACATATCGTGCGGCTTGGGCCTTTAACTTGCGGGCTTCCCACTTGTTGGTTGGTACTTCTCCATCGGCGATATACACTCGAATGGCTTCGAGCCATTCTTTGTCGCAGCCGTACTCCAGCTCGGCCGGTGAGGCGTCTTGATCCATAGCGATTGCTTCGTCATTCTCTGGTTCCTGCTCAGGGGGATTTATCAGCCGAACTCCTTCTACCTCTTCGATGCTAAGACGTTCGATGAATTTGACTGGAATTGTCCGTCGGAGATCCGGGTCTGAAGTCGAAGCAAGTGCTACCAAGGCGTCAGCCGAGGTGTTTTCGCCTCGGGGTATTCGTGTGAGCTCGAACTCGTCGAACTTTTGCACCAACTCTCTGACCACCTTGAGGTAAGCTCCCATTCGTCCGTCCTTCGCCTCGTATTCTCCGTTGAATTGACATGCTACGAGCTATGAGTCACAAAAGGTTCTTATATTTCGAACTCTAATTCCCGGTGCTAGTCGTATGCCGGCGATCAGCGCTTCGTATTCTGCTTCGTTGTTCGAGGCGTAGAAGTTCAGGCGAAAAGACTGCTCCAATATTTCTCTGGTGGGAGAGGTGAGACGGATTCCTATTCCCGAGCCTTGTTTCGACGACGAGCCCTCGACGTGCAGCATCCATACTTCGTCTGGGGTTGGCTCGTTCGTTGCTTCGGCCGGAAGTTCGATGAGAAAATCTGCGAACACCTGTGATTTTGCAGACGACTTATTCCGATACTCGATGTCGTACTCACTCAACTCTATGGCCCACTTGGCGAGCCGGCCGGATTGGCTCGGGCTGTGTAGGATTAAGCGCAGTGGAAGTGTAGCGAGCACAACAATCGAATGTGATTGAAAATACGGACGCAGCTTGCGAGCCGAGACTACGACGGCTACGGCGACTTTCTCGATCTGGGGGTAGCGGGTCTCGGCGTCGGTCAGTGTCTGGCTGACGTAGAAAATGGGTTTTTGCTCGGATCGGTCTTCTCTTATAAGCACCCCACTCACAGCTGTAGCAGATACGGCGATGTAGAGGAAGAGAGGCTCTCCTTCAACAGGTTTCGCCAAGATCGGCGGGATTGCCAGATAACTCTTCAATTCATGGAAAGCTGCTTCGCATCGCTCGTCCCACTGGAATTTCTTATTTCCCTGAAGGGTGTCGTAGAAAGGCAGGCACTTGTCGGTGGAACGGGAGATGAACCTGTTTAGCGCAGCAACCCTTCTTGTGAGCCTTTGCACTTCACGCTTCGTCCTTGGAGAGGGCATCTCGATTAATGCCTTGATCTGTTTGGGATTCGCTTCAATGCCTCGATGAGTTACCAGATAGCCGAGGAATTCTTCTGAGGTGACCGCAAATCTGCACTTCGCCGGGTTTAGTTTCATGTTGTGTTTGTTCAACTGCTCGAAGCATTCTCGTAGATGCGTGATATGGTCTTCCTCCTTGAGTGATTTGACTAACATATCGCCGATGTATACCTCCATGGTTTTTCCGAGCTGATCTGCGAACATTTTATTGACGAGCTGTTGATATGTTGCTCCTGCGTTCTTGAGCCCGA